CTGAATTTGTGTGAAGTAGCTTCTGTTATGGTTTTATATTGCCTTTTGAGACACTTGAAAAAATGCTCCTTTTTTAAATTGAAGGGACTGGCAAAGCCTTGCTTGGCAGGGGTGAAGAGTCCGGTGGGGCTTGTCAGGAGGCAGAGGTCTCCATGAAGCTGAACTTCGAAGTGCTCCTAACATACCAAACTGGTTTGTAATTGTGGTGGGGGAACAGTAGAAACAGGCAGAACTGCTGTGTCTGCGGAGCCTCAGGTGTTCCCTGCGCTTGTGTATCCACAAACAGTGTTACAATATTCTGAGTTACTTCTGTCATGCTGGTGTTCAGCTTGTCTTTTCACTCCTAAATGTTACCGGGGCTCTTGCAGCTTCTTGCTTCCAGCCTCACAGCAGGCCCTTGTTTGTCCTGCGCCCTGTGTGAACGCTTTTTAACCTTGTCACCTCGTTATGAAGGACTGCGCAGAGCCTCGTCAACGCCATTGTTTGCACCTGTGGCAACCAGCTTTTCCAGCACTTGGCTTGACTTCTTCAACTGAACAAACTCCAAAATGATTGTCGTTAGCCTGTCTGCCAACTGAGCGCGTAATCAACAAGCTGGAGGTGCTTTTGTGCAGGCAGGATAGCAGCTGGTTTTGCTTACATCTTTACCTTGGCAGGACATTTTCCATACCCACTGCCAAAAATATAGAGCATCTGGCATTTTCCAGCCTGCCCAACTTGAGTTTCTGGCCTGGCAGACAATTTCTTGCTGCACTGATTTGTAGAGGCTGTGCTTAGAAAGCGCTGAAGCCTGGTAGTGTGTGTACGTGCACGCTGAGGCTATACCAGCTAGTCTCTGCTTATATAAATATTATATAAAAATAGCTGTGTTGTTTACAACAATATTGGTTGTCCTGTACAGATATATATTAAATAAGATTACAGAAAATGGTTACTGTCATACAGTTTTTACCAACAAGTCATAAATACATATGTCACTGTTAATAAAAGCCAACACTTTTAATTGCTACTTTCCACAGGAAAAGTACCTCTACAGAGGTCTTTAGCGGGGGGAAATACATAACAAAGAGCTTGCCTGAATACAACAGGCCATTAACTATAAACGCGATTTAGTCCACTACGAAATTTGAGTTTGTCTTTTCACAAAAGTGAAAGCCTACAGCTTTTTTCCCCCCGTTAGATTGGAATCTGCTTTTCCCCTTCTCCTTTTTATTACATGGCTTGTTATTTGTTGTTTTTTTGTGTTGGTTTTTTTTTTAAAGAGATACAGCCTCTTTCCTTAGTGAAGAGGATAGCCTATGTATGCCCATTAATTTCTAAATTTTCTTTTAAGTTCCCATGTGTAAGTATCTTGATTCATCTGGAGGCTGCAGTGCTTCCTCCGTGGCGGTGCACACGCCATCCATCGTCGCGCAGAGGGCAGCTCCTACCCCTTATCCTCCCGGCTCATCCTTCCCAAAGAGCCTGTACCCCTCTGCCGCAGCACGCCAGTCGTGCGTGCTCTCCACCGCGGCTCCGGGATCCCGGCGAGGTCCCAGCCCTGCAGCAGCGCACAGGTCTCCAGTTCCTCGTGCTTGCTTCCTACCCTGCATGCCTTAGCGTGCAGGCACTTCGGAGGGACTTGCTCGCTTACATGCACATGCTTGAGGTGACCCCACTTGAGCCCCGTTTTGTTCATTTCATGTTCCTCGTTGTCCACGTCACCCCGGGCACTTTGCTTGTCAGCCTGTCCCTCCGAGGGCTGCGGTAACTCCCCCTCCCTCGTGGTTCCTGGTTTTGCTCTTCAGGTGCAATTCCGAATGACAAATTCTTATCTGGTTGTAAATGCTTGGAAGCAGCCTCTTGCTCAGGGACCGCTCTGAAGGTTTGGTTTGGCTTTAAACAGTCTTTGCTGTTCTCTTATTATTGTAATGAGGGACTACTGGGTTAACCCATGTCTCTTCGTGGCCTGATGGAATTCAGAATATGATGGAAAGGTCTTTCTTGTTATAGGAGTTCCCTTGGGATTGAGTTGGATGCTTGTCATCTCCCAAGTCTGGGAGCGGGAAACAAAAACCAGTGAAACAGATGTTCCCAGATGTAAACCGTGGTTACATTTATATATCTTGGTGATACCTTGTTTCATGTATGCCAGGTCTAGACTTTTAATTTAAAGCAAAAATACTGTAAATGGTAACAGGAAACATTGCAGATCTTTCTTCTGAATCTGTTTGAGCTTTTGCAGGTATTATTCTGTACCATGAACATACAGCTACGCGTAGTCATACTGCTCTTGTTCTTACAGACAACGCTCACGTGGGGGCCCTACTTGTGGTTTCACATGCTGCGAGTTGCCACATCAACCTTATCAGGTATTGTTTTACTTAATTCTTGGGGAAACCAGTAGTGGAATATTGAAAGTCGCTTTGGCAGACCGTAAATCATCTTTGTGAGCTACTGGCCATTTTCTCAAAAGTACGAATGAACCTGTGTTTTCATCTATGGAGATGTACTCTCTTGCCTTAGGCACTTTTTTTTACTTTCAATCAACAACTTTTGAATGGAAGAATGAACAGAAAATACCTTTTGGCTGAACTCTTTTCTCAGCCTTTTTCTCCATATGGAGACAGAGTGGTACTGGCAAGGGAGTATGTCAGCCTTCTGTTAGGTTTTGTGTGGAACCGTTTTGTGTGGACCTCATAAAATTTCCGGAAGTTTTAAAAATGCTTGTCCTAGTCTGTGTTCTTTCCAAGGTGTAAAGTATCTTTATGGGTTTTTTTGACAAATATTGTGGAGTTTCTGTCATTGCACACCTAATTTTGCATATTTTAAAAAACTATTTGCAGTCTATTCTATTAATTAACCTATCCTTATTTTTAGAAACACTTTAATGTACAGTGTAATTCTGTTCCTTGTCATATCTGTTCTTCATACACAAAAGCAGATACTGCTTTCCATTTTTCAGAAGGCTCCTGTGAATTTGAAGATTAGTACTTCCTTCTTCCCACTTCAGTTTTGCCTCTTACATTTGTAATCTGAACTGGTCTTTTGCACAGAGCTCTGGATATCTATAAAATTAGTTACTGTGAATATTCATTGAACCATTCAGTTGCGAACTTCTAACCCGATTTCCCTGAAGATGACTAACTCGTTTGCATCCTCGGGGCAGATCTGCAATTTGAAGTGCAGTGTACTGGACTTCTTGCTTGCCTTTACTCAAGAACCAGTGCTGTAGCCATCGTCACAGTGAGGAGACTGACTGACACAAGCCCACCTCTTCCAGACTTCAGGCTGTGCACTGCCTGTTCTAGCAAAGTAGCGCTGTGTGTAGCCCCCAGCTTGAAAATTGAGACAGCTGAAACCTAAATGTTTTATTAACCCATTAGCATGCAACACAGGACATTATTAAAACTGCTACGGACTTGACGTGTGCAGGTATCAGTAACTCCCTAGTTTGCTGGTGCCATTAGACTGAAGTGCCGGTACAGTTGGTAGCCGTGTATTTTTCTCTAACCTTAATTTTCAGTCAAAGTTCAGTTAAAGGCTTATCCTTTAACTGATCCCCGAGCAAAACAAACTTGGATCCAAAGCTGAAACTAGCAGAATTCGAACAAACACTACTACCATCTAGATTTTCATTGACTTCCATGCCCTTCTCCTTTGTTCATTCTTTATCTTAAAGAACAATTATTAGTAAATTGAGCCAATAATTACATATAAGTAGATTAGCCTAGCAGATTTTGTTTTTTTCTTTTGTGTGAAGTAGGACTATGGAAAACCATTCAGGAGAGATGATGATACCTTTTAAAATAAAACTCTGCTTAAGAATTTTCTTCTAGATGCTAATCGTGTGGAAACCTCCCTTTATTTTTTTTAGTGTGTGATTTTCTTGGGGAAAAGATTGCATCAGTTCTGGGGATAAGCACACCAAAATACCAGTATGCCATCGATGAGTATTACAGAATGAAGAGAGAGGTACGTGTGTGAGAGGCTTGCTGCGCTCTTCTCCCAACTCGCCTTCTCTGGTATTTTAGAAAATGAAATTTGTATTCCAACACTGAAGAGAAGTTTTAGAACCTCTGTTTCAGCTTGCCTTCAGTTTTCATTCGACGTGTGATTAATACTTGCTTATCCATCAGCCTTTCCCAGCCAGCTCATCAGTCTTGGAACGGGCTGGATCCCGGCCACTGCTCTGTTTGCTTCTCCTGTACAATGCGTTTTCACGTCACCAGCGTGAGAAGTTGGACGGAGCAGTTACCGGACGCTGCTAGGAGCGTGCTCTCCAACTCCAGAGCCTGTTCAACGAGGTGTCACGGATGAACTGAACATGACATTCCCATTTGTTCTAAACCATAACTGGGCATGACTGACAGGTAGCCAGTGCTTTATGCAAAAAACCCTTAATCTTCATTTGGAAGAGATGGGAAACAAAGCTTTACTACTTATTTTTGATAGCTCTTTATTATCAAGAGCTGAAAAAGCTTTGAAGAAGGTAGACCATAGACTATGGCCATTGACTAAAAACTGCTTATCTAGATGTGATGTTTTTTCTATGTTTAACGCAGAATAATGCGAATTCTGCAACATACCTCATCTTATGATTAACTAGTGACTGTTTCCTAGTGGCACAAATGTGCTTGCCTTGCAGTAGGAACTGCTAAGCCTTTATGGAAGGATTTAAAGTGAGTATAAGAAAGTGGTAAATAGTAGCTTACAAATGTGGTTGTCTATTTTTAGGAGGAAGAGGAGGAACAGGAAAACAAGATGTCAGAAGCAGCAGAAAGACAGCATCAGGAACAGCAGAACAAGCCCCAGGCTGAAGCTCCTGTCCAGACAGACCAGCCTGAAGCCACAGCATGCACGTCATTCATGAATGTAAACTTTGAAAATGAGGGAGATTGCCAGTCCGCTGGGGAAAATAAACAAGATGTAGTTCCTGTCCCTCCTTAAGTGTAAAGTTCTGTGTGCTGTAGGAAATAGGAAGTGTCAGGTGTCACAATCTGGCTGTAAGAAGCAAGAAAAATAGGATTATACTTGTTCAGTGAAACACAACTTCTAGCATTCTTATTGATCAGGAGAGAGCTAGGCGATGTCTGTTCATGTGTCTGTCTGCCTGATAAAGGCTCAGGCGCTCTGCCAAAGTGACACTTCAGTTGAGATGAAAATTGCACTACAAACATTTGGTCTGAAATTGAACGTGTGAGCTAATTTCTGTGTAAAGCAAGTAAAAATGTCTTCTCTTTGGATTGCTGTGTCTCCCAACACCTGCAGGTTACAGATGCAGTGCTGTTTCCTACTTCTGAACACCTACTTCTGATTTGCACATTGTTTGCAACTCAGCTCTCTATGAATAGATTAATAGGAATCAGTATCTTGTAACTCACAAGTCATTATATTAGTGTCCGATTTCCCCTATTTATTGTCACTATTGTATGCATGTATTTTTTTCCTGTTATTAACATGAGATAATGTTAGATTTAATGTTAAGTAGATTTAAGGGTCTGCTGACTTTTTTTTTTAACCCCCCCCCCAACTTTAAAGGAGGCCGTAAACACACTTAAGAACTTATTAACAAGTACCAGCACTCTTAGAGGCCAGTAGTGCTCAGCTGCTCCATTCAGCACTGTAGCAAAGTACAGAACTAGCATCAGTGGAAGATGTTCTCACTCCCAGTCCAAGAATTAAGAGAGTTTGTTACTTGAGTACTTCCTTACATGCTCTGAATGGTCCTGGGAAATAAACTAAAGCCTTGCTAAATTATCCTGAAGGCACTGGGCACCGTGTGTGGTACCAGTCTAGAACTACGAAAACATTTTTGGACATAGATTACCTGAATCAGCGTACTTGACTAACTGAAACAGACCACTTGTTTGATTAGTAAGGGGTAAGGGATGGCCCATGACAGATGTTCCCTGTGCCTCCCAGCACAGAATACAAAACTAACTAGAAATCACAAAACCAAACTTAGGACTCTTCCATTTTCTTACATAAACAAAACACTTTGCTGCAATACTGCAACAATAATAATTTTCATTTTTGTCTAAGTGAAATGCAGGTTGCTCCACAGCATTTAAGCAGCCTCAAATACCAATTAAGGCTGTCTTACTCCAATGATTGTCATTCTACTTGTAGCTTGTAAAAGGTGAATGGTTTACTTTGTGACAATCAGATGGCAGTGCCCCAGTCACGTTCTGCAGAGAACCATTGTAGATAAAGGAGCAGCAAACCTGCACTAGTTACCGTGTGAAACATTACTTCTGTTCTTGAGACTGCAAAAAATTTTTTTCAAAAATATTCTTCAGTGAAATTTTGTGTTGGGTATCATCGTGCGTCCCTGGTCTTGGTCCCGCTACCAACTGAGGAGCCTGATGCAGCATCAGAGGCCAGGGAACTTGGCTGTCAGCCTCCAGAGTCCAGTTACGTGTTTCAGACAACCCTCGGCCTGAAGTAGTGTCCTGCAGAGCACACATTCCCTCTCCTCCCATTTGCCCTGAGCGCTCCAGCGCTCCAGCGACTCTTCTGAGGAGGATTCCCCATCGGCTCTGTGCTGTCTGTTGTGATGCTCTGTTCTTTGCCCCTTTCTGAGCTGAGACAGGGGGTGCTGGCAGCTGTGTCAAGTCATGCCTTAGCCCTGAACATCTGCAGGGGACAGCCTGGTTCAACACCTGGGGGATCCACAGAAAAACAGCTGGCTGGGAGTTCTTACACTGTCAAAAGACAGAAAGCCTCACGTAGCTCAAGAGTAAAACCGTTACAGCTGCAAGATGCTTTGCTTTTATACCAAGAAATTAATGTCAGTTGCATTGTTTTGTTTCCCCCCTTCCTAGTATCTGTTGCATAAGAAATGCTCCCGCTGCCTTGGGTTTAAACTTCTTTGTATAAAATACTGTATTACTCACTGTGCCTTAACTTAATCCTTCCCTCAGTTTTTTGCAAACTGTGTGAAAGCGGTTACTTTCATAATGGTTTAATTTTTCTGTAAATGCATTAATTGGTTATTTTATATTTAATATAATTTTTGAACTGGAAGCTGGCTATGGCTTTTCCTTTAAAACTGTGTGGTCTTGTCTGTGAAACTTGTTGCCTGCACAGCGGAATGTGTGCCTCTTCACTGTTTTCATCTTTACCGAGTCACACAGCCTGGTGGAATATCATACTACCCCCACGCCTTGCTCACAATCATCTCACACAGTACTTGTTAACGTACGGAGGTAGTGCTGAACACACTGAAACTAACAAATAACGCAGGACTGCAACCACCTCTGGCCTGGAGCTACTGTAATTTTACCTGAAAGCTGAAACATTTCTACAGCTTTGTTAAAGAGTGTTTTACTGCTCTAACTACTGCTGTAGCACAGCCGTACAATTAAGTTGAATTACATAAAATAGGAGGTTAAGTTGGTGAAAGCCTAGTGTTTGGATTAGTTTTAATACGACCTAAAGCTAGTGCTATTTCTGTTAATGAACCTCTTAAGTAGGTAACTATTCAGTCAGCTCAATAGTTATTTACTTATCCTTTCTGTTGGACACTTAAAGCTGGACACACACAGAAGAAAAAGGCCTAAAATCTTTACCTCTTGCTGAAGACTTTTGCTTTTACAACAGAATGCTCAGCGGCGCTGCCATTAGAGGAAGCCACACGGAATGCAGCGGGAGGCTTGGTATCTTCAGCACTGGCTGGCATCCACTCAGCCTTCCCAAGAACCACAGGGTAAATTCACATTTAGAATAAGGTATTCAAATAAGAATAGGGCTTGGTACACAGGGAAAAAGTCCAAAAATATTTATTAAAAAAAAAAGATAATTTTTACCTCTTAAACAACACTTGCTTTTTTGGTTTCAGGAATTAGTTCTGCAATTCCTGTAGGTATCACATTTTATATTATATGGACGGGCAAGGGGGGAAGCTTCCAGCAGCTGGTGCATCAGACTGACATATCTCTCTGGATACACTCTGCTCCCCTTCAGAGTCACGTATCGTCAACATCGGCAGCGCTGTCATTATCACTTGCCACAAGGACCTCTCTGTTCTCGTATGTCCAGAACCCATTCAGATCAATTAGAATGCTGGTGACAGTGTCTCCTTGACTGCTATTGATTAAGTCTTGAAGGGAGATTTTGTAAGGATCCTTAGGCTTCACCATATCAAAGATTTCATCCTATGAAAGAAAAGTCAAAATTAGGGAAAAAGACCCCCACACATTAATGAGCAGAATAACGGCTACCTTATACCACACACATAATGATCTGCGGGTAACTAGTGCCACCCGCACCGATTTACAAAAAAAACCCCAAAAACGAAACCACAAGCTGTGAAGTCCCAAACGATGTAAGATACAAAGCACAATACTTGGCTACAGATAGGAGCAGTGTGCTCAGCTCCCGCATCTCAAGTAAGAATTGGCTTTGGAATCAAAGTAGCAACATGAAACTCAGTTTGTTTGTATAAGCTAAGTTTTTAAGCTTTCACAAGCTCTTGTACTTTTTTTCTTTTGAAGTACTGAAACTGCTAAATGTAAAGTAGGCAGTAATAAAGAGAGTTTTACAGACAGGTTTTTTTAGTCACCAGCCCACACTCACCTCCAAAGGATGATCCTGAACCATAAAATAGACTTAACAATTATCTTCAAGTGTAAGGCTCAGCAACATGTATTTAACAGGTACTTTGTCTGTGAGTAAGGAAACTACTAGAACAGTTGCATACCAGATTTCTTACACAGCAACTGCTGAATAAAAAGGCATTTTCAAACCTATGAGTAGGACACATCAGACAATCTCTACCACTCTGCAAGTAAATACACAACAACCTAGAAACTACGATACAACATACATAAATTACAAAATACTTATTTAAATATTTCACATAGTGCTCTGTTCAGTAAAACTAACCTTGACATCCTGAAAAGAAACTGGTTCTTGTCCATGGATTTTCATTTGTTCCTGAATAGCCTAGAAAAAACAGAACAAAACACAACAAAATCAAGAAAAGTTGGGAATAGGTAGTGCAGTATTATACGACACTGTATGAAACTTATTTTAATGCTTCTGCATCTTGAGCTGTATTGCGCTGTAACAAAGCATTCACGGTACAGCCAGCTTGTGATCAATTCTCTTCCACAGGTGAGGGATGGGTGAGTTAAAGGATAATTAACGATACACATCTCTAGGTCCACAGTGCTTGGTCAATGTGGTAAGAATCCAACTTTCATTATGACTGGTGTTTGAGCACTCTGCAAATGGGATATGCAGACACTCAAGTATTCTCACTCAACACTTAAAGCTGAAGGCAGTAACACATTCAAACCAGAAGGTTCAGTTTTCTGACAAAGTGTGAAATTCAGACTAAGCAAAGCGAAGGGAAACAACCAAGCAGCAGACAGACAAAGCAGTGTGGCTACTCACACTCCAATCACTTCAACAACAGCACCTGTATTCTGGTTGATCAAATAAAAACGTGAGGGAGACACATGAGAGGTGGGCCCATGCGAACCTCATGAAGTTCAACAAGGCCAAGTGCAAGGTCCTGCACCTGGGTCATGGCAATCCCAAGCACAAATACAGGCTGGGCAGAGAATGGACTGAGAGCAGCCCTGAGGAGGAGGACCTGGGGGTACTGGTGGATGAGAAGCTCAACATGACCTGGCAATGTGCGCTCACAGCCCAGAAGGCTAACCGCATCCTGGGCTGCATCAAGAGAAGCATGGCCAGCAGGTCAAAGGAAGTGATTCTGCCCCTCTGCTCCGCTCTGGTGAGACCTCACCTGGAGTCCTGCGTCCAGCTCTGGAGCCCTCAGCACATGAAGGACATGGACCTGCTGGAGCAGGTCCAGAGGAGGCCACAAAAATGATCTGAGGGATGGAACACCTCTCCAACAAGGAAAGGCTGAGAGAGTTGGGGCTGTTCATCCTGGAGAAGAGAAGGCTCTGGGGAGACCTAGTTGTGGTCTTTCAGTACCAGAATAGGGCCTACAAGAAAGCTGGAGAGGGACCTGTTTACAAGGGCACGTAGTGATAGGACAAGGGGTAGTGGCTTTAAACTGAAAAGAGAGCAGATTTAGATTTGATATAAGAAATTCTTTACTATGGGGGTGGTGAGGCACTGGAACAGGTTGCCCAAGGGAGCTGTGGCTGCCCCCTCCCTGGGAGTGTTCAAGGCCAGGTTGGATGGGGCTTTGAGCAACCTGGTCCAGTGGAAGGTGTCCCTGCCCATGGCAGGGGGGCTGGAACCAGACGATGTATAATAAACCCCCTTCCAACTCAAATTCTATGAGATGATGTATTTGTCTATTTCAGCATTTGTCCATGCGTGGAAGGGTTCTCCCAGTTCATGCCAAAGGTGGGCATTTCTCCTTTTGAGCAAAACAGTATTCCCCACTATTAGTTCTTCTAATGTGCTACTATTTAAACAGATCCATCACCAAACCGCTGCCTGCAATACCAGCTATGAACAAAACTGTTTGTTTCACCAGCATAAGCTGCACAGCCTTGTCAGCACAGCTGTGTCAGCATAGCCTCTGTAGGTGCAGACCTACCCACACTTAGGCTACCAGAAAAGCAATTATTCAGAGTCAAAAGGAACTGCTCCTATCTCAAGCAAAACTTAGAACATTCCATTTCCAGAAGTTTAAAGGAGGGACACATTTTGGAGTAAGATCAAGCATCTGCTGTAGTCGAGAAATCTTTTCAGTAACTAAGCCAGAGAGGAAGCATGTAACTGGAGACACGCACAAAAATAGCTACACTACAGCAGCTTATGCAGAACTACTTTGTTAAATTGCTTTCGTATTAGAACCGCTTATGTACCATGAAAACACTAAAATTCATGGGTTTGTAAAATGTCAAACTGTGAATTAACACCCTTGATTAAAATCAGCGACAGCTGATATGGCCCCCCAGCCTCCCTGAGTCCTACCACGAAGTGACCAGAAGTGGAGAAAGTGGCAGGTGCGGTGTAAAGGCAGGGAAAGAATATGAGTCATTGCTTGGTTTCTCCAGGATCCTTAGCGTTCCCAAATCCTGGCCCAACAGTTGACTATCAAGCGTACAACGCAGTTACAACTACTGAACAAAGTTCATGATGAAGTCCAAAAGGCACATGTAGAAATCCTGCCTGGACCTGCAGCAGAATAACCCCATGCAGCAGCACGCTCCAGGGGCCAGCTGGCTGGAAACAGCTTGGCAGGAAAGGTGCTGGAGGTCTTGAGGCACATCACGTTGAAGAATCTGCAGGGTGCCCTTACAGGGATGAAGACAGATAAACACCAGGCTGCACTGGTACAAGCACAGCTAGCAGGTTCAGGGAGGTGATTATTCCTCCTGATTCAACACTGGGACACAGCACTCCAGACGCAGCCTCACAGCTTTGGGCTCTGCTTTATGAGACCCTGGCAAACCAGCGGGGACCCACCAGAGGGCTATCAGGATGTCTGGGGGGGCTATACAACAGCACAGCTGAGGAGAGAGGCTTCAGATGGGGATTAATTCACCTGCAGAACAGAAGGCTGGGGTGGTGGGTGAAGTCTAATTACTATCTTCAACTACCTAGCAGGTGGTTAGAGACAACACAGCGAGTGTCTTCTTGGAGACACACAGTGAAAAGGCAAAAGGCAGTGGACACCGACTGCAGCAAGAGGCATTCCAGTTAGACGAAGATGGGAGAAAGGGCGAGGGGAGGGAGGTCTTCTCAGTCAGGGTAGTCAGACACAGGAACACACTGCCCAGCGAGGCCGCAGAGTCTCCCTCCGTGGAGATACCCAAAACTCGCCTGGGCAAGGCCCTGGACAACCCAACCCAACCATGAAGCTGGCCCTGCTCTGAGCAGATGGTGGGAGCAGGTGATCTCCAAAGGTCAGTCCCACCCTAAATGATTAGGTGGTCCCAAGGCACTAAAAGAAAAAAAAAAGGTTTTGTTTTGGTTTTTTTATTTTTTTTTAAACAAAAAAGGGCTTTCCTTTTTAGAAAAGGTCTTCCAGATAAAAAGACTTACTTTTACAAAATGCTATGGTTGCAGTCACTATCAAAGTTCATGTTCAGCTGGAGACTTAGCACAAGATAAATAATGTGGATATAAGATTATGTCTTGAGCAGGCCTGAATGCTTTACTTGGTGAACTGAATGAAGCACATAACTTGTTCATCATACTTCGAGCACACAGCTAAGTACAATGACATTGTATTAAAACTGTAAAAATAAAGATCTACATACAGAAAATTTAAGTGCTTGTCCCTGTGTCTGAAGAGATATCACTGAAGGGATCTTGTACATGAAAAAAGCATCACACTGATAACTCAGCCTAAACCATCCACAGCAAAATCACTATTTTTACTGCATGACACTTCCCTTCCTGAGATACTTCAGGTATCTATTGAAAAAAACATGACAAAACAACTGCTGCCCCCCCCAACCCAAAACCATCACAAGACAGAACAAAAAACATGCACACAAACACAATTTACAGGAAGTCTTTACAAGCCTTAGACTAATTTTAACCGCAACTAAAAAAAAAAAAAAGCTTATTTAAAATCTATTCTGATTCTGGGAGCAACAAATAAAAATACAGAATATGAAAAATGCAAGCAGCTTTTTGCAATTAATACACTGAATAAAAAAATCCCACAGAAGGAATTTTTAAAAAGCCTTAGACTAATTTTAAAAGCAACTAAAAAAAAAAAAAAGCTTATTTAAAATCTATTCTGATTCTGGGAGCAACAAATAAAAATACAGAATATGAAAAATGCAAGCAGCTTTTTGCAATTAATACACTGAATAAAAAAATCCCACAGCTGTAAAGGCCCATCACTACATTTCATTATTTTCATTTCTTCTACTGAATTTTAGGATTGCAGTGGAAATTAAAACCATAGGCCATAACCAATTAGAACCATCATAAGAGATTTCAATAGGTAATCATTAGGCAATCTTAGGACTATTTCAATTAAAAAAAAAATCTACAGAAAATATTTTTCCAGAATGAAATCAAAATAGTTAATTTCAACTGCAGATAAAATGTTGAAAATACCTTTTGAATTCTTTCCAAGTTTGTGAATACTTTTTTTTAATATTTTAAACTTCTTAGAAGTAGTTACTAGCCTCCCACTGGGTATTGGTGATTTAAAGTGATTTCCTGCAGATCTGCATGCAGAAGCACAGAGGCTATAACACTATAAACACAGAAAATGGCCTACCTGTAGAAAGAGACTTACCCTAAAGAAATAATTAAGGGAAAAGACATTCAGGTATCCTTTGTTCTCTATATCAAGCAGTTTGAAAATATATTGCAGAGCTGCAGGCTCCTTTCTGTTTTCTAATGCAAGCACAAAGTCCAGGTAGGTTTTATAGTCCTAAAAGCAGATACAATCATGTTTATTACAGTCTTTTTTCTAAATTGATTTTGCAAGCAGGAACTTTATAATTGGCAGCTATTTCATTGCAGGGGATCAGCCTATTTTCTGAAAAAGACAACATGAAGTAGAACATGGCTGCCACCACCAACATGAACAGAAAAGTTAGCTTTTAATGACTGCTGACAACAAGAAATCCTGCCATTTTAGAGGTAAAACAGGATTCCAAGCACAAATCCAAATTAAACATGCTATATATACTTTTAAACAATGCTTAATACATCTTTAGACTGCTGAACATACCCAGCTAGTGAAGAAAAGCCATATAAAATGTTTTCATTACCACAAATGTCCAGTAGCAGTAAGCCGACCGTAACCAAATGGTGAACTATATGGCCAACAGAAGCATTAGTAGACATCACAAATATGTATCATACTTTTCTTTTTCATTTGTACCAATTCTTGGTTTCCCGATCAAGATACAGTTGTGACAAGGACAGAATTCCTTCAGTCCTACGTGTATATTAACCCTGCCTACCTTAAACACCAGAGAGTTGTGCTGCCATTCAGAGGGAGCTTGACAGGCTGCAAAAATGGGCTGAGAGGAGCCTCATGCAGTTCAACAGAGGGAATGTAAAGTGCTGCATTTGGGGAGGAATAACACCATGCAGGAGTACGTGCTGGGGGCTGATGAGTAAGAAAGCAGCTCTGCGCAGATGGACCTGGGGAGTCCTGAAGGGCAACAAAGCTGAGCACGGGCCAGCAACGCGCTCTTGCAGCAAAGGCTGCTGACAGCATCCTGAGCTGTGTCAGGAGGGGCTTTGCTGGAGAGCGGAGGAAGGTGATACTGCTCCTCCACTCAGCACTCGGCTCTGACCACATCTGAGCACTGGGTGCTGTTCTGGTCTCCCCCGTACAAGGGGGAGACAGAGCTACTGTAGCCAGTCCAGCAAAGGGCAACTAAGAGGGTCCCCCGCAACCTCAGGGATTCTGTGGTTCTGCAAAAAATTGCCAAGATGGCCAAAGGACTGCACAGTGAATTTGTGATTCATCACTTCTAGAGTTCAGTCATCTGAAGGCAGACAACCAAAGTAGCAATACATTAAGTAAAGCTTTCAAAATAAGCATGGACGTAAGTTCTTCTTTTATGTCTAATACAGTTAACTTCCTTTTTTTCACACGTATGGAAAGCTTACAAGAACCACTGTTGTCTTCATGAAGAAGTGGACAGGTTAGCTAACTTGCACTAGTCTGAAGTGTGGCACTTGTCTTTGGTATTCTTTAAAGAATTACATGTAACTAAAAAGCATTGCTACTTCTATATATTTTTTCAACACACACTTTACATTATTGAATCTACAAGAAGCTTTATCCTAGGCTGTCTGGATTTTTTATCACCTCTGCTTTTCAAACAAGCAATTTGTCTTTAAGCCACTGCAATCACCTTGCTGTTAAGAACATGAATTTTCTAACCTGCTGCATGGTCATTTGTGTGCACAATGATAAACAAAAGTTACTTTACCTCAAACTGCTCTTTATTTTAAAGATACTGATTATGAGACATTTCCCACCTTAATACCCAAAGCTTTTCTATTGTCAGCAAAGTGAAAGTATGTGATTACCATTTCACCGTCATAAGTTAAGCATTCCTGAAAGACACGATCCAAAAAAATGTTGGTCAGAGTCCCAGTTCCATATCGGGACAGTTCTTCCTTGCTAAGCATGCCATTGTGATCCTTATCAAGGTTTAAGTACTGGCCTAGGGAGGAGACAGAAAGGGCAAAACATAAAACACCTATATCAGCAGAGAACTATTTCAACAGAGAAAGACAATTTAGCACTTCTTTAACATTTATTTAATTTTCCTCATAAAGTTAATGCAGTTAAGTGGGAATATGCCAGATTCACAATATTATTCATAGAGCATCATTAATGAGCACAGAACATGTGAGGAGGGGAAGTAGGATTCCCATAACGAGGTGCTAATAGTTCTACTCTAAGGTAACGGCTCAAAACCAAAGGCTGTGTATACAGAGAAAGGAGCAGACGGCTAAGAGCACATTATTTTAGACAGATCTGCTGTAAGTATGAAAAAAGAGCTAAAGGTGATGCAAAAGCATGAACAGAACAGTCAAAAGTGAAGGTTATAGAAGAATCTTGTACCTTGTACAACAAGCACAAAGTGACAGAGGATAAAGTCTTGGAAAAGAGCATCAGTGGAGAACTAAAACTCTAAACAAAGTCAGGAAGATATACCGAGAGGACAGTTACAGGAGTTAAAAATACCAGTTACCAGGAGAATTTAAAGAGACAAAAACTGAGGAAAAACAACACTAAGAATGTGAATAAGTTATACAAGGCAGACAGGTGAGAAAAAAAAAAAAAAGGAAAAAAAAAGGCAATCACATATAAAGGAACCTACCATAAACTCTTAACGCAGAAGGAGCAGAAAACCAATTTGTTTCCTGACTTTCTTTACAAAGTTCTTCATCCCTTAACTAAGTGAAACATAAAGTTAGAATTCAGAAAGAGTAAATTAAAATACCATAGTATATGTTAAGAGATCTTTACCTCCAATAAGTCATCCAGGAAACTGCAAGCTAAAATATCCTGTATCTTTATCTTCCCTGCAGCAAGAAAAGGAAAACACATTTTAACCATCGCCCAGCCAACACACCCATTTGACTCTTCTCATTTAGGTGGTTCTACTTAAGAAACAAGCATTCTGAGCAGGAAAAAAAGCAAAGCACCTTTTAAAAAAAACTAAAACCAAACAAACCCAACTTCTAACATCAAGGATAAGGCTGTAATTAAAGAGATAAAATAAAAGTAGCTTTCAAAATGACTGAATAAGACTAGCCCAATATTGGCAGAAGAGGAGTTATCCTGAAGCCTTAAAAACCAGCAAGCTAGTTTAAAAAAAGCACGTGTTTAACATCGACTCAAAACATAAAATAACAAATGTAAATAAAGCATGCTTAAAACATTTGTTGGCGTAACAGTGTCTTTTAAGTGATGTGGTATTTTTACATCTTCAGAAACTACAGATGTGACACGAAGCTAAGGTGGCTAACACACTTCTGCTGGTGTAGCTTTGACTGGTGCGCAGACACTGCACAAACAGCTGTGCAAAATAATGGCATTATAACTTCACACACCCCCTCCCTGTACGTTTGCAATTACCTCTGCCAGAGGCTACTGCCCACACAGCCCCAACATCTTCAAGTGGCACAGCCAGCTCTTGGGAACACATGCAGTTTGTGACTCAAATCAAGGGCATACGAAAAAGCAAACTGTTGTCCAAGGGAGCTACATCTGTAATAGGGATTAGCAGCCATAACTGCAAACCTTTTCTAATGAGTTTACATGGTGCACACAAATTTAATCCCAGGAGAAGCACATCACCATAAGCATTCTCGAGCATTTCCACAGCTCTGCGGATGTTCTGCCAAGCAGTTCCGTTGTTCGTTGCCGTGTTTTCTATTCACCCTAAACACTTACAAAATTAGCTACTGCTAGTGACGCATTATGATGAAACAATATCTTATTTGTCAGTTTCTGTGAGATAACTCTACTGTAGAGTTATACCATGGAATAAAAAGGGGAATCAACATGTGAAATGATAACTGAAATTAACCAGACTACTGCCATTCTAGGCATTTTTGTAAAGCCCTACCCTTATAGTTAAAAGTTTAACATTAACTATAATAGGTTTAGAAAAGCTAAGAAACAGGATTTTGAATAATGTGTTATTGCTTCACAAGAAGGATGTACCTGTCCAAAGTAGAACCAGAGAGTGATAACTCACAGGAATAGCTAACGAACTATGAAAAACTGCTGAGATTGCCAAAAGGAACAGGTAACTAGGGAAAAGGTAATTCCAGCAGGGGCAGATCACGACCACCGACTCACGGACCACCTACCCCAGTTATACCCCAGACTCAAAGGACGAAGAAATTGAGCATGCGTACTGATTTACATGCTGGACGAAGAGACTTTAACCAATCATTTAACAGAATAGCAATGCATATGTATTAGGAAGATGAATATGGTAATATTAAGTGCATAAATGACTGTTGATGTGTGAACAAAGTGTGCTGTCTTGGGACAGACACCCATATCTGCACAAATACGTATAAAAAATAGCTCTGCTCTGTGTGTATATTGGCGTACTGCACACCAGGTAAACGAACCCTGATTTTTTGGGACAACAGTACCACAACTGATGGGTATCTCATAGAAATTCATTAGCCGTAGAAGTAGAGTATTAGACCCACGTAAAGACTCATGGTCTTCAGTGGAGATTAATCTTCAAATACAAGATTGCTTAATAAAAGCCTACAAAGACAATTAGATATTACTTTGAAAACGCAAGTAGCTTCAGTGGAAACATTTTAGAAGTGAAAATACTCCTACATATTTAGAATTCTGAGAACACAGACCTACCTGTTCTGAGAGGATCCAGAAAGAAGAAGAACTTTCTAACTGCTGTGCAGACATAGAAGGAGTAAAACGATTTTTCTAAACCATCCAGTTGTGGCAAAGTAGGGATGAGTTCCAAAATATAGTTTTCTAAATCCTGCAGAATTAAGAAAGAAAAGAAAACAAGCTTTAAACGCTACTACTGTTGCATGTTTGCTATATTCCACCCTGGCTTTCAAGTGTATTCTGTTAAAAATACAATCCTGCAACAATGCAGGAAAGAACATAAAAGCAGGCAAAAAAGCTTCTGTCTCCATGCAAGAAATCCTAGGTCATATACACATACATGTGATGCCATGACTGAAAAGGTCTACAAATAAGGCAGAATGTTAACAAAGTAGATGATATTTACAAGTAAACATAAATGCATTCAACTGTACCTTTCCCAAATACCAATGCATAACTCCTCATTGGATTATCCTCTTGCTGAATAATAAATCTTTTTAAAGTGGAGTTTAACTAGAACTTTCTTCTTTATTTTATAATACTAACTCCTGTTAGAACAGGAGAGCAATTCATTAAGGCCCACTCTAGCCATCCTTTCTTGTGATTTCTACTACATCCTACTAAATCTAGTGAAGTGCTAATGACATGAAATCTTGGTATCTACAATCTCTTTTTCAGAGAATTACCCATATGTTAAAAAGGCCAGCAGCACTCTCACCACCAAATCTCCAGAATTTAGAGATTGATATTTATCCAAACAAACGTGCCCAGCCCAAATCTAGATGATGATATAAGCTTTTATGAGCTAAGACTGGAAGAAAATTGGAGCCTTTCTGATGCTCTGTCGTTTCGAGTAGAGAGACATTAAGTTAATCAAGAATTTACTTACTGATTCTCTGAGGTAGCCCTGTCCTGCCACGTCGTATAAACTGAGACCTATTCTTGTCTGGTGAAGCCATACTGCAAAACAGAAACCAGAATTACAATACAAGAAATCTAGGGGGTTTTTGAGGCCTCACCAAAATCTGAAAATATTCTAAAGGCCACAAGACGTTGTTGGATGTTAAGTGCCTCTTTCTATTTCCCATTTTTCTGAGATTTAAGCAAAGCCGTGGTATGTACCAGCCCTGCTTAGGAACACCATTTCAGTCTCTAAGTTCGCAAGAGTCACTGGTGACGTGTGGAATGCTGTGGCCAAGACTGCCTTATAGTAACTACATGTGAGAAACAGCTGAGCAGACACCACATTTTCTGGTACGTGGAATCACACGGATTTGTTCTCTCTCGCTGACCCAGGGATATGCGTAGCAGTGCATTTTCACTGCATTAAGCACAGCTGTACAATGCCATACACAGATGGCTTGTCAGACTGCTACAGCCCCTTGTGCAGCACGAGATGCTGCAGCTACAGCCAAAGGTCCTGCCCTCACTTCTGAGTTACAACAGGAGAATTAGAACAGCACTAGCATCTATTTTTGCAATGAGAAGGCGTGATAATCAGACAATCTACAGGACAATGTGCTTGATGCCATTGTTAAAGCCCAGGAAGAGAGATGGAGTACACATTAGGCATAAAAACTATTATTCAGACACTCCATGTCAAATTTAACTTCCACTTTATGAAGACACGGTTTAAAAGTTCCTCTTACAAAATACAAGCTATGCTTCATACCAACATTCGTCTCTTCAAGGTAAGTGTTTGTCACTGTGGACTAAGTATCACTCAGCGATGAGGCTGTTTCTTTGTTGGCTGAACTTTAAAGCTAAGTGCATCATACACTCTGAAGTGATTCAGGACACTTTTAGTAGGCTTGACTTGTTTGGACAAAGCCAACAGACTCTACAAGCTTCGCTCCTGAAGGGGGAGCGTTACTTGAGGCAGAGGGTGCTTTGGGAAACGCTTCACCATTATTCAGCTATTAACTTCACTATTCCCTCATCCCCTCCCAAAAGGGCTGTGCAGATCATTAAGAAAGAAGAAGAAAGGCTGTAATCCATGGACTGTAGAAAATCCTCCAGCTGCAGGTAGGAAGGAGCAAGACAGAATGCTACATGTTCAGCACAAGTATGTGAACACATCCAGCTATTTCTAAAGCTTTCACAAGCATATAAGAGAAAAACCCCAAAAGCTCATTAACGAGTTCAGGAGGTCAGAGAAGACCATCACAGGCCCGAGGCACAGCAGTTTAAAATGTTTTAAGCTCGGGGTGATACGGCCTCTTCCTTGCTGCAGCACTGCTCTGGAGGCTGACCACTCCGCTGCACCAGCTTCATCAAAACAGGGTGAGATGTGGGACTGCACTGCCCCAACCCAGATCAGCTCAAGCAGCTGCAGAGCAACTCCCTTTACCACCTGTTACTTTCCTCTCCTTTCAGTGTCACGCTGAAGGACATTTAGCAGTAAATATGGACGGAAATCACTAACGCCAGTCTAAAGTATCAGCTGAATATTCCTACAGCAATTTACGTCTTTTCTTCCTTCAGTACCTGGAGTGGTCCTTAGCCCTCATACAGAATACTGTCCAGAGACAACAGAAATGATCTCAGCTACTGCACAGACATGCTACTGGGCTAACTTTATTAGGCAATTCCAACGCTGTAAGCTAGCGAAAACAAGGATCCTTACTCAACTGACCCAAGAGCGACTCGCAAGCAAACACTGTGATGGGATCTTAATGTCGACCAGAGCCTGGAAATGAAATCTGATTGAGACAGGACATACCAAAAGGCTTCCTTTCTCTAAATGGGGTCAAGTTTTTTTTGGTTTTGGTTGGTTGGGGGGTTTTGTGTGGTTTTTTTTTACTTTGGGGTGGGGGTGTTTTGGTTCTGGAGTTGGGGTTTTGGGTTGGGTTTTTTTTTTTTGGTTGGTTGGGTTGGTTTTTTAGGAAGAAGTTATCACCATAAATACACAAGACTTAAAACTTCTGGGTGAAACACACAAAATAAGGAGCTCTGAAAGAATCTCTCTTGTATCCATCTGGGTAGGCCTTTATGAAATGCATACAATTTTCACCGACTTCTTCACAAGCGTCCTATCCTGTAGAGCTTTTGGATTTGCCATTTGTTGCAAATGGGCCTGTTACTCCTTTCTTGCATACTCTGCACATCTATGCACCAGGTTTCCTGATCAACACATCTCTCATCCCTTGCACCACAAGATTTTAAATTAGACCAGCTGAGCTGCTCTGGGGAAAGATGCCATTCTCCCCTTCTGAAGACTTTACCAAGACCTAAGAACACAGCAGCCAGGGGACAAGACAAGAAGACAACCTTCCTTTCTGCTAGCCAGCCTCATCTTTTAAACAAGATCTAACACAGATTAAAAAAAACAAAAACTGCATGCTATAGTGACAACCATGAGAATATATTGACATATTTGACAAGCACTGTTAGAAAACGTAGATAACACCACTCTGTAGAAGGAAAAATAGCAAAGCTATCTGTCAGACAGTGATCACAGCGGTTAGGATCACACTGCGTAACTTTACTGTTTTGCTCTTCACAGTACTGCCTGGACAGAGGAAATCAGAATGACAATATACACAACAAACAGATCAACGATGTCTCTGGCTGAGCGGAGAGGTGGATTTCAGAGGTAGCATGAACTCCCACCTCCTAGTAACTGGAAAAAAATCCCAAGCCTCCAGGAAAACACGATTAGCAATCAAGGGCTAGATCTCACTGCTATTGAACAGAACAAGTAATTAATAAAGCTTAAAATAGCTTTGAAAATAAAACTACTTCTCATTAACACAGAAGAAGCATCAACTAACCTTTTCGCATGACATAATTGAAAAACTGCACGATAGATATCCTCCCGTAAGGATCATTATGGAGCAATTTAGCAAAGATCTTAGCTGTGAAGAACTGCCTGTAAAACGTAAACACAAAGCTACTTCTATGCATTTGATTACACTGCACCAACAAATCCAGTTACGGTATTCAAAATTTACACTTTAAAATACTGTTTAAACAATATAGAATATATTCTGTGTATTTAAAGATGTTAATTTGTTACACTACACCCACCAAGCAGGATCCTACCATGTAACAATGGTAAACTCAATAAAAAGCAGCTGCTTTTGCTGCTCTTGAGACTCTTCAGTGATGTAGGAGTTTCGAAAGCTTTCATCCAATTTAATTTCTCTTTAGTACAACACATTTGGTAGCTTCCCATCTTCTACAATGACATGCACATAAAAGGACTGCCATCACCAACAACAAATCTGCTTCTGCCCAAAACTCAATCACAAAGCTATATGCACAACAGCAGGCTCCAACAGGAGCATAAAGAAGGAATATTCACAGAACATCCGGTAGGAAGTTTTCCATCAGAAGATATTAGGAAAGGTTGGACAATATCACTGTAGACAGGATTTCCTCTTCAAATACAAAATGTGCTGTTTACTGGCCACTAACATCATAAAAATACTCATGCTGATAAGAATTTCTTCTTCAAAAGGATGCAGTACACCTCTTGCAGCATCTTTATCAAAAGTTCCCTCAGAGATGTAGGCAAGGATGCAAAGCAACCAGTACATCAATAACTACATGGACATAATTGTGTCTCACCATTAAACTGTTCTATCTATTATAGCAACTGAAAGTTACAACAGCACTTAGGTTTAGTCAAAGTAAGCATACACAAGAGGAGAAAGCCTTACTTGCATTTAGGTCCAGCTTTTTCACCAACTTTCAAGAAGTTCTCATAGTTGATCACTGCTTCTTCCCCAATCATTGGTGATGCCTGATGTTTATCCAGTAGAAACCATACATTCTTAAAAGACATTTGTATTTGGTTAAGAGGCTCGCTCTCTAGAGATGTCAATGTGCTTAAGATAGAGTATCTAAGAAATGCAACAAAAACGTGGTTTTGCTGCAAGGTTCTCTGTTTATCAGTACATATTGTCAGTTCAGCCAGAAAAGCAAGCAAGCAGTATTTCCACTGCTCTAAACTGGCATCAAACACAGAGACACACACTCTGTCCCTCTCACACTCACTATGATTTTAGGGTCACATCCCTTTTGTCTTTGCACTGCAGTACACTCAATCATCTGTGGAGTCTCTCTCAGCGATATGTTAACAGAACTTATTTCTTCTTCTAGGCCCACTAAGGAAATTGTTGGAATGTGCTGGAAAACCTGAAGCCACTGACTTAGTCCTCATATACATCATAAAAAGGAAGCTTTACACTGACGTTACCAGCCCAAGACTATGCAGCACTTCAGCTTTAGCTAGCACTTCACAACCAGCAACGTGCCCAGATACAAAGCACCTCGCCACAAGATTCTGGGGACAAACAGGAGATAATCAAACTCTGCAGAAAGTGGAAGTCTTGCCAAAAGCCATCAGGAGACATACACAAAGTATTTTCTTACCTGCAGCTCTTCATTATCCAACAGCTCTCTACTTTTTCTTTGCAGAAAGACTGCTCTAGATTCTTCTCTTAACTTCTGGAGCAAGACTTCATCTTCAGCTGGCAGCTAGAAACATTGTGGCATTTTAATTTTCTGTGCAGTGGTACCACTCAAAATCTACACATCTGGCAAGTACCCTTAGGTAGTCCTGACTCACACACTCTGATGAAGCTGTTTACTTGACAGAAAATAACGATGTATCTATGAGAATGCCGTATGGTACCTGCTTCTTCTACAGGGATATCACTTGCATACTGTCTCAAACTGTTTCAATGTTGAAATCTGTGTTTAAAGTAGGACATCCCTAACATGAGAGACGAAGACCTACCTCCACCCATCCAGTAAGCACTGTCCCACAGTTACAAGACAGGAGGGTCACAGATGAAACAGATTTAATACCGTGTTTTTACTCGAGAGAGAGCAGCACTTCCTAGTTTCTGGCAAGCCTGACTGTCCAAAAATGTGAACATCTAATAGACTTGCTTTGGCCAACAAAACAAATGGGAGAACACTTAGTATGAGAGTTCTGCTACTGGTTACATGCAAAACTCTACAGTGCTACCAGAACTTGGATGGTTGCATACCTATTCATCAACTGAAACACAGGTACTTCAGAATTTAATTGGCAGAAACTCATGATCCTAAGCAATATGGGACTATGTGAGGTTAGACAGTAGCTGAGCAGTCAAGTTGACAAGTGCCAGCAATACCAAGATGTTGAGCTTGTGCTTGTATGTTCCCCCATCCCAATCCAATTCATCTCACACATCAGTAGCCGGACCAAGCATTTCCGCTGGGTGATGCAAGCAACAGCCCTGACTTTAGTCTGCAAGACCAATGACCATGTTCATGAAGCAGCATCCCATCGTGTCTACACAGAAACAGGAAGATATGTGGTATAACAAAATTTAGACAAAACAGGAAGTTTCTCTGAAAGGAGAACTAAAACTTCCCATCTTTAGTAAACAGCCAAGCCTACTGCCTGATTGGCAAACTACTGATTGGCCTTTGATGAGATGCTTAGTCATTATTTGACAATGCTGAAATTCGCAATTGTAAAAAACAAAAAAAAAAAACTTTGCTTAGTAATCCACATCATTCTGGTTTCAACCTACTCAAGCTTTTGAAGCTGAGCAGTCCCTTTGAATAAGCACAACTTTATTTTTTAACACAGAATAGCCTCTTGTTGAAACTTATCTGGATACCCCACTTACCCTGTAGTAAAACCGTGGTATGTTCATGTATGACATGTCGCCACTTTTTCTTCCTCCTTTCCACTCGATGTAATACTTTGTGAACAATTCCATTTCTTCATCTTTTAGCTCTTGTTCACTCTTTTTGGCTGGTTAACACAGAAAAGAATTTTTGTGTTGTACTCCACAAGGAGTTCTAATGTAACAAGGAGCTTAAAAAAAAAGGAGTTAATGCTGAGGCTTCTACAGCTACACTGTTTAGTCACACGCATATCAGGTGGAAATGAAGGGAGCACAGGCCTGTCAAGTCAGTTTTGTACCAGATATATCGAATATGTCACATATGTACACGCTATACGAGTACCTAGGAAGCAGCTCTTCCAGTAACCGCACACCCCTGATCTCTGCGGGCTACGGGGCTGTAACAGAGCGGCGGTCACGGCTGGCAGAGCCGCAGCGTTCCTGTTTCACAGCGGCAGCGCTGCCCCAGGCCCCGCTCACCGCCAGCGGCGGCGCGGAACCACCTCCGCCTCACCAG